AGCGAGGGAGCACCGACGAGGAGCGGGTGTGCCAGGCGGATATATGCACGCCTCGTTCGCTTGCAGGGGGCATGACTGACGCAAGAACGCGTACAGTGAGTAACCGGTCTCATGAAACGTTAGCCGAAATTCCGAAATGCGTTTCCGATTAGGAAGGATTACTTAGGATTACTTACTTACTTGCGGCATAATCCAATAATATTCCGGATTTGGCAGAATGTCTGCTTTCGAATACACTTCTCTTCAATCTTCTGTAGAAACCCTGCTAGGAAAAAGATGACTACTTAATTAACATGCATTTTTTCACATTGATTTTCGATAGTCTTATAAATTCAAATATATTTTGCAAAAAGAATGGACAAAAATGCACTTTCTTTCATTCATTTGAATGAGAACTACGTCTTCTTCATATTTTATATTCAAAGAAAGGGTATAATTGGGTGTTAAGAAAGTTTCTAATTATGAGATTGTTTAAGACCATGCAATGTCCATTCATACAGCTTTGTAACTGTCCGTATATCATTGCTCCTCATGAAATGTACAACAGTCTGCATTCATTGGAGAATTGTATGGACTCTATATAATATCTCCTTAAAGGCATAGAGGAATATATGATTTTCCTTACGAGGAAAGCATGCACCTTGTAGACTGAAATCGCCAAACGCTAATGTAACGGCTGCTCAGGCTCGAAATTATTCGGGAATTCGGTAACTTTCAAAACACAAACATACACTTTCTTCCGGTATCAAACGTGATGAAAATGTGATTTTATACCAATCGAGTAAAAGAAAGAATATTTTTATTCATGTTTTTCGGAAAATATATTTGAATTTATAAGACCATCAAAAATCAATGTGAAAAATACATGCCCATTAAGTAGTGATCTTTTACCGAGCACGGTTTCTATAGGAGATTGAAAAGACGTGTATTCAAAAGCAGGAATCCTGTCAAATCCGAAATATTATTTGATTATGCCGCAAGACAATATTTATTAGAACCCCACCTAAGTAATGCTTCTTAATCGGAAACGCATTTCGGAATTTCGGCTAACATTTCATGAGATCGGCCACTCACTGTAAATATGCCTGAGGCAGCTAATGTTTCAGCTCCCGCGGTCTTTATTTTCACTCATTGAACTGGAGCTGTTATCCCACTAAAACATTGTTGATCGTCATAAGTACTGTCAAATAAGGGAGAACAATGGAAAATAATCACTCGTAAGTGGCCTGTGGTTGCTGACAGTCAGCTCAAGGATAAGCAAACGTTTTTGAAGCGTTTAGGGACATCGCATGACTACCGCCGTTACGCCATTGGGTGCACTGCAAACGATTTCCATTTTCCTCGTCATGCTCACGGTAAGTTCATCTAAACTTTCAACATTGAGTTTCGCATCTCAGCGAAGATTTAAAAAAACAGTTCCGTGTGAACATAAAGCGGTATGCCTAGAGGGATGATGAGCCAAGAGCCACAAAAGCTTCTTCTACGCGCAACCTTACGGAACCTTTTTGAACCGCTTAACCACCTGGTGTGCACACCTAAGCGTAGATCAGTTCTGGTAACTTCTGGGATTCCAAAATACAGCTCAGTTAAGTGTAGCTTTGGAAAAGAATGTTTGCTCTGTCTCCCTTCCAATTACTGCTGTCAAAATAGCGCGCAGTCGCGGTGGAGGTGTTTGCTAGAGAAAATCAGCATCAATGATGCGGATTTTTAGATCGAAAATCCCCCAACAGTGGACTGCAGTCAAGTCTGCGCTCTGTCTATTCGGTGTCGAGTCAGGTAAATTCCACGTTGCGAATTTAGTATCAGCAGTAAAGGTTCGCCCCCAACGAGCCTTGTTCGCGTATTTAGAACGTGCATGAGAGATCGGCCGGTCGTCTACTTTTATTGAGAAAGTCCTTGTTACCAACTCGAATGCATTTTTCTCACGGTACTTTAATAAGCACACATTCATTTCTTTCGAGAGGAGCCTTTTTAGGTGCATGCACGGCAGACTGTTGTCGGAAAAAGTGACTGGTGTGACTATTTCTAGTTGATTTGTTGTCACCGGCAAGCCACACCCAATCCCAGAGTAGGGCCTGAGATCCGAATCCGAGTCAGTTAACCAGCAAGCCTGTTGATACTTACTCTCTGCCACTTGAACTATGAGCTCACGCCCTCTTAGTTGCAATTTGCAGTGTTCAGTCACGTTAGAATGGATATGCCTGATTTATGCGGGCTGTATGATGGAAATCGACATTCCGAGTACACTTTGGAGCTTCGGGTCCGGAACTGCTGCGGATCTAGTCGTCTTAGTCGATCGGTGGTGCTGTTCGTACCCTGGGCCTCCCAGAGTGGGTGACGCTACTATCACGTCTGACGTAAAATAAAGCCGAGCAATCGGACACCCGCCTGAAGGTTTTTTTCACCGGTCAAAGGAACCAAAAAGTGCGTGTCATGCAAGCGAAGGGGGTGGAGTAGTTCGTCAACACACTATTTCGCATGATTGAGAACAAATGCGCCTCCCAACATAGCCTCGTCTGATAGAGCTCTTGAATCTGTGCTTTTAAACCCATCAATAGCCGCCCTCGACACCGGGCTCACTTTGTGCTTCTATAGGCACAAATGGGAATAGCGGCGCCCTTTAACCTAAACTCCCGTCTAACCACTGAGGATATTAATTTAACCCGATGTGTGGTCATAGTAGCAAGCCCATCCGTCACAAACAACGGACACAATCGTTGCCTTTGGGGTGGGAGGAGAGGCACTGTTGACTTGCGCGTGAATTCGCTCAAAGCGACGCAGACTTGCCGGTGTCTATCTTTGTCCCTTTCCACGCCCACGATGTGCTGATCGCAAATGAGAGTTGGAATTGGAGATGCGCGTTGGCTCAGTGACTGACTAGACTGAAGCCACATTCACGCGTACCACACAGACACTGATCCCAAGGCGCACGTGACACAGTCTCCGATGGAAGAGTGGGTCCAGGTTTCACGTTGCTGTGACGGCCGACCATCCGTCCGGAGGGAGGGGAACGAGTTAGAACATCGGTCGACTGTCGGTGCATCGGTATCGTTTGAAAGAACAGTAAATTGTCCGAATGGAAGAGAATATGCGCATCCCAGGTTCTTGTTTAAACGGAGACGAAGGCACGATCACTGGGACAGTAGATTTATTTGCCTGAGCTTTCAAACTCTGATGATGAACTCCAGTTCGAGTTCGAAAGCACAGGCAAATAAATCTACTGTCCCAGTGATCGTGCCTTCGTCTTCTTTTAAGTAAATTGTCCATCGCAAGAGAACTAGGCGCTGGACCGAAGCTGAAATGACCCCGCTATTTCGCCACATACCGACAAATTGACCGTCGATTCCGACGATGTTCACCGTGGTCCCCACAACAGGGTGGGCGCAGGAAAGGAGACTCGACCATGGGTTAGCTTATAGTGATAGTAGACTTGCGCTGCGTCTATCACACCCCGCCATCCTCTTTCACCTGGGCCCGATGTCATGGCTGAGTCAAAACCAGGAGTTGGAGGGCGCAGGTGGCTGGCGCGTTGCGAGTCTGCGCCTAGACGCGCCACCACACCCCCATGCATGGCATCCGTCATAGGTGCGCATCCCAGATAACGCCTGTCAGGCCCAGATATCGCCTCCCCCTGTGCGTCCCTAAGACGGCCCACGCAGTAATCTCGTCACATAGAATTATCGGCACAGCAGGACGCTGTGACGGTAGAAAATAGGCACACGGATGCGTTGTGAAAGCACAGGATGACAAGGCGTGCAAGACAGCAAGAGCCAAGGATAGAACCCATGCACATCAGCGTCAAACGGGATATGGACAGCAAGGGAGATGGAGAGAGACCATCAGCAGGCAATCTCACATTTATTTTCAGCGCCAAGGGCACCAGAGGCTGTCGTCACTGAAAGAAGGCAAATGGACGGAAGATGGCCCCCTCCGAGGAAGCAAAGAAATAAAGCAGGGCACACACAGAGAGATGCAGACCAGAGGCAATCGATCTGAAAATAGAGAAGCGTATGGGCACATACACGCAGAGCAGTCAACTCGGCTAGTGCGAGGTGGTGCAACAAGTAGTTAGTAAGCAAAGCATGCACCGGATGTCGGAGTACGCAAACACGGGCAAAACGTGAAAACGTGCTAGTTCGCAGGTAATTCATTCGGAGTGGGAGGATGCGGGGAAGCAGAATCAGGCGGTCGGGCGAGAATTAGCACGAAAGCGCAGGAGGGAGAGGACAAAGGCAGTAAACAGCTATCACGAACTCCTAAAGGGTATAAGTGCTGAAAACCAGTACAGAACGCATGGCGGGGCATCTGCGCTGGGGGGACCTATGCGCACACAGGAACGTGTGATTCATGTTCATATTCAAAAATTCAATACTATTCACTCTCCAATTTTACTCTCTCTATGAACAGAGACCAGTGGCGGCGGTCGTCGAAAGTAGCGGCCTAATGACAAGGGAGGGGACTGGATAAGTGGATGCAGTTGTGTTCACTTGTGAGGGCGAGCTAGTTGTTAGGTAAGGTAGGGGGAGGGGAGTACATTTGGAGTTCAGTTCTGTGGTCAAAGGAGCCGCATAGAACCCCGTTACACAAAGGCGTGGCGCCTGAAAGATTTGGGTGGGTGGACGGGTGGGTGAGGGGCTCGGGATATCAGGGTAAATGCATCGTTCGATTCAAGAACTGGAATCAGCGGTAGATGCGCCTGTCATACCAATCATGGAACGTTGGCTAAATGCGAGTGGATGCATGACGGTCAATACCAGAGGCTCACACAATTTTGTTGGGGCCGATAGCGACTCAGCACCACTTTGACACCCGGCTCAATCGAAGTGGCAGGAAGGCGTCAGGGCGCAAGACATGAGAGATAATGACATTTTGAAATGGGAGAAGAGAGGCATCCAAAAAAATACACACACGACTATGATCGGGATCAGCAGTAATTGGGACAGGGAGGGGAGGAAGGCGGGTTACAAGTCGACGGAAGACAATGGGAGAAAGGCTTAATGTCACTTTTGGCGTTCCTCCAACTGTTTGATCCGTCTCTCGTGACCCTTTATGATGATCTTCATCTTCCGCATATCGTCAAGTAGCTGCTGAACGTCGGCGGGATTTATGCCACACGCAGCCGCCCCCGCCGGAGCCGGCTTCTCTCCATCTCCCACGGTTGAGACCTGAAGGGTACGTGTAGAGGAAAGTGTCGAAAGACGGTATGGGGGGGAGGGGGGGGGAGGCGAATGCGCCAAAAAAGTTTACAGTGTATTCCCTCCCACAGGAAATTTCTGCCCGAAGACAGTATATGAGAAGGCACAATGCGAGACTACCTTCGATCGAGACGGTGGGACACGACAGGAGTTGTGCTTAATGGCATGCACCACATCTACAGCCTTTTATAATGGACGTAACAATCTTTGCAACAGATTCAATACGCGCAAGGCTACCTATAGAGACGGCGAAATCAGTAAGATCACTGAGGTAGATTATAAAGTGGACGCAAAACAATTAAGTCTCCCTCCACAACAGGCACAACTGCTGTCTGGGAGACGCCTGCCAAAAAGGCGGCATGGCATACAAGATTCAGGGCTTCTCAGTTCATTGTCAGCTTTGCAATCGTACGGGGAGTCGTCTGTTGCAATTGGCGGCATGAATGGCGGATGCCCTTGGTTGTTAAAATAATTAAGGAGTCGCAACGTCAAGGCAGCGCCAAACAAAACAAAACCTGAGATCATTTGACTGTACGGGCTTATACTGCAATCTGTGAAACTTCATTGACCGTCGGGAGCCCCTGCATGCTCTTGATACCTACGTGTGCTCTGCGTTGAAGACACGCCTGATACGAATGGGCACAGCGACGTATTTTAGTCTGCTACCAAGCACGAGGTAGATGAGGATGATGAAAAGGTAGTGAACAGGTACTGACCGGCCTGGTCGATTCGGTAGCCACACTAGGTGTGGCTGTGCCACTCAGCTTGCGTGCAGCGGTGTCCGCGGGGGAATCTTTGACCGGTTCGTGGAGACTCGGCCGGGGGCGCGAAAGAGGCAGCTTGCCGTTTTTCTTGGTATTCTTTTCTTTACTGATGAAACTGTCCTTCAGAGACATCTGCAAAAAGGCAGAAAGATAGAAGCGGTTAACGTAACCTGGAAGCCAAAATCGAAGCAGTGTTGACGCAAGCTGTCGATTATAATCACTTTAACGAAAACTCCAACGTGGAAGTACTCAAATACCGGTTAGTTTGAACAGAGAGGCATTTTCACAAAATGGAACAGCATTACTCGTAAAAAAGAAATTTGGCTTATGTTCCAAGCAACTTTCTTCAGCCGATGGTGTCCAAATTTTTTTGACTCAATGAAGAAACCGATGGAAGCTGGGTTTGAACCCCGAAACCACGATATGAGACTCTGGCGAATCTTCACCAAAGTCTTTATAGAAGCTAAGTTTGTGAGTTTTTCGACTCGCCCCACAAGTTTTTTGCACGCTTCAGAAACATTGCAAGCATACACTCTTTCGTATTTAGCTTCACCCATGAATTAGCGTTCTTAAATATGCGGTATGTACCGCAACTGCCGGAACGGTGACTAAAATCCTCAAGCACGCCTTCCAACAGAGAATATTACTTTGATGAGGCTGCAACGCATAATGGGATGCAATGTTTGATAGCAAGTCGTCTTCTAACTGAGAATCTGCTCAGCAATCTATCTTAATCTCAATCGGGAGAAGAGCACGGCTTATAAGATTAGTGGTTTTTGATTGATCGTTGGTGTTAGCAATAATTTATTCATCTTTCTAGAGAGGATACAGAACAATCACAACCATAAGACCTAATTTTTGGAAAACGACATCCCCACTACTTATCAGAAAATAATTTCGAGATGCCTATACGATTGTTCGTGAAATGTGCCATCGACAAAGTAACCCGCATGCGCCACAACATATGGCGGGCCTCAGGAGGCCTGCCCTTAATGCCCCAAAGGAATTTAGGAATTTAGCTGAGGAAAAAAGAATATCTTGTGGGGTGAAAACCTCGAAGAGTGAGTGTGCAGCCTGTGTTTCGAAGTATATTGATGCTTAAAAACCTTTCAAAAAATGAAAAAACTCTTTTCTATTAAACACTAAAATCGAATCTGACATAATTTTCCACAAAATGGGTAAAATAAATGAAGCTTTGAGCATCACGCCTGACAGATACGACTGAAACTGGGCAAGCATTGAAAATCTATGCAGTTCACATAAAATGGCTGAAAGGATATTCATCCAAAAGTCGCGTTCTGCCATGAATGAACTGTATAGATATCCGGCTCAGAGCCAGTCTCATTTAGGTAGCCTTTTTCGCTAGAAAGCACATGGAGAAATTTCGGTTAGTGGTTGTGTGATAAGTCAGCGGCAGACCGGCATGCCGGTCAATAGAGGTGTCAGAAGTCTAGACCTTAAACAGTTCTCGACCTGCACTGTTGCCCATTCACACCATCATTTGTGTCCGCGGAGTTGAAATCACGGCTGTGGGCAGCGGTATCCGACATTAAAATCTCGTAAAATAGCACACTAAGCAGCGCCCTCCAGCCTCGGTGTCTCGACGAAAAAACTGGGAGGCTGGCACGCCGTAAGACGCTACTGTGACCGTTCATTTGTTCGCCTTCGTCCTTGACAGTGGACTCTTACAAGAGCGCGAAGGATTCCTAATGGAAAATGCGCATGCCGGCATGCATGCATTAACGAGAGATTGTGCGGCGATAAAACCTCCAAGCGTGACTGTGCACCGATCTGGTGAGCCATATGGCAGCGTTCGTACAGAGGGTGACTGTTGCTCAACTGCTCTCTGCTATAATCGCTTCGCCCAGTTCGGCCTGGCAGGTGTTTGCCTGTTGGGACCTCGGAACTAGTTTGCTTCTAGAAGACAACGGATCGATATACGCCGAACTGGGCGTATAAATCGCTTAGTCAATGGTAGATGGGCGCGCACCGATCACCCTACAGAACTCGCTCGTCCCTTTGTGCCCAAGGGCTCTCTCTCTCTCTCGAGTCCCTCCAGCAACCGTGAGGACGAGCCCGTGGCCCAGTTGTTGGGGCGTTGGATTTCTAACCAATACATCGCGAGATTGGGTCTCGGGGGTTGCATACTCCGGGGCTGGATATGGCTGGCTGGTGACGGCTGACAAGCCAGAGCTGGCCATTCCAGTATCCCCTGTCTTTGTGGGAAATGCTGTTACTTAGTCACTTGTGATGAAATCTACCAGAAGTAAGTCAACCGAGTGCATGCTGTAGGTCCAAAATATCAATCGGTCGGTGGAAGATTCCGGAGCGAAATTGGGCCAGTTGGCATGCCAGCCCGCGACTGACAGCTATAAAGTATGGGATGGGCTTATGGTTGGCTCTAACTACCTACTCCTACGCCAACATTTGACAAAATGGACAGCCGCCATCAACCATTGTTGGACACGGTCGACACAGAACATGCCTGAGTGGAAGACGTGATCACGCAGAAGATTATGCAGACTGGAGGACAGTTACATTTAGGCGAAAGTTGCCACGTAGTGTAGGACTTCTGAGCATACAGCTCATGTTTCACATCCGTTGAGAAGTCTGTTGACGGCAGCGTCTCAAATCCACATCTTAGTCATCACACTGAGTTCAAGTCTACTCCAATGGTAACAAAACTGGGACGAGGGCGATACCCGCCCAGTTTACCTAATGGCGGACTTCAACTTTGTCCACATGGCTCTGGACTGCTGCGGCTGTCTACCAAACCAAGCAGGCAAATGCCTCCGACCGCGAGGTCTAACAGGATGACTGTAGTGCTTAGAAGATGTCATTATGAGGTCCGTATCGACTGTCTACATGCCCGTCTGGGATGCAGTCTACTGCATTTCTGCAAAAGAGCTCGCAAACATTGCAGCATCACTAGCGCTGCTGTAACGCCTGGTGCTCTGACAGCGTCAGCCGAGGAAAGCAGTCTGGCCAGACTTGGTGGCAGGATGCGGGTACCAGTTGATACCTCTACCGTCATTATGGCAAACCACTTACTATTTGTATAATATTGACTGCCTGTTGACAGCTTGTGAACACAACGCGACCATTTCGCCGTAGTTGATGGATTTTGGTCCTAAGGTTTATATATAAACTTGCGAATGGAGCCTGTAAAACCTCGTTCTGAGGGGTTAACTCTAAGTTTGCGCAATAATTTCTTTGGACATTAAACAAAGCAGCATGAAATCTGGAATTCGTATACCGGAAAGCACATAAGGAACGCCGAGGGCCCACTGATGAGCCGGACCCCTCGCAGTTGCGTCATGCATCGGCACAGGATTGGCGAAGCAGGCGTGCTTGGGTCTGTCACCCCTTTATAAAATCGCCGAGTCGACAGCGTCGTTCCAGTCAGCTTCCTAAAGTTGGGTTGGCCAGAATAATCTTGAACATAACTTGGAGAGTTCCGCCGGAAGGCAGTCCACGCCTGACGCCTTGTTATTATACAGTTTTGTTGCTTCTCACTGATCTCCGCGAATTGTGGACTGCAGCCCCAGTCGCGTTCGGGAGCCAGGGCGACTCCAAACTGGCCTCCTGCCAAGGGGTTAAATGATACTTCAGTCGGACTGTCAAGTACTACATTGCACACCGGATGGGATGCGCAATTGTTATTTCCGGGTAAATCAGTTTCCATAACCAAGAGCTGATACATGGGCGCAGGTCTGGACGCGCTGGTTTTAGTGGACGTCCTAGCAAGTGTTAGGATTCGTGTAAAAGGGGCTTTAATACAACGGAGATTTTTCCGTTTAGTGCACACAGGGTTTCCTGGCTCGGCTTGAAAAGCGGCGGAGCGAGAACGAGCTTGTTTGGTGGCGGTCCATGCTGACCATGTCAACGTGCCCTTACCGGAATGCGGTAGTTGCTAGACCTTGGTCAGTCGCCTACTGCTAACCACGCCACTATTGGTCAGCGACTGCTTATTCGACGGACTCGAGGGTCCGAGTATCATGCAGCTACGCTTTGCTTACAGCCCCTACACTATCGGTCATCGGAGGACGCGTCGGTTAGTCAGAAAGGAGGTTAACAGGTAGTTTTCCCAGAGATCCTGACGCCCTGCCTGAACTTCACTGGTAAGATGGGCATTTGACTACACCAACCTACTGTGCTAAAGCAAGCATAAAGACCGTCGGTAAACGCGAAGACTATGCTGACTTCCATGAGCAGTAGGCGTACAAAAGAATACCCCACAATTTCGGCGCTGGTACTGCAATTACTAGTAGTAGTAGTAGTAGTAGTAGTAGTAGTAGTGGCGGTAATACAGAAGTAGCAGTTGTCGGAAAAAGAGCTAGGGGAGAATTGATTTTACGGCATGCAAATGCATGATTTCCCCAAGGCCCAGCCGTCGTATGTGTGAAGCCAAAGGTACGGGGCAAAACAATCAGCAACCGTCAGAAGAAACTTGCCGATGGGTGCTTGCACACATACGCACTGCAAGCGGAGGCCAATAGCAACAGTGTAGTGGGAATGCAGCTATTAGGAACATGATAGGAACACCTTAGGGAGAGTTAAAATAGCTGTTTTTGCTACGGCGGAGTAAAAAGAAACGTAAACAAGTGTGGGAAAAGGCGTGCAATCCACGGCCGAATCATCGTCTCCCTCACACAGCACCCCCTGTCTCTCAGAACCCGCGAGATGAAGCGGACAGCAAAAGAAAACCAGCGAGAGAGCGCGCGTACTTTGGCCATATATGGCCAAAGCGTAAGTCGCCGCTGCCGCTGTCCGGAGGATCATCAGCGCACTGCCTTCGATCTTCGTGCCAAGGCACACAGGCACAGAAATAACACAGTCGGCCGAAGCGCGCGCCTTCTGGACGCGTCACGCACACACAAGCTGTGCAATGCGAGCAGAAACATGCACACACACAAACACCCACAGGTAGGCGGACGGCGCGTACATACTTAACGCTGAAGGGCACAAGTGGAGTTGATGGGACGGCACACTCATCTCTCGTGTTCGTACGAAAGGTGAGTGTGCCCGGAGAGAGGGGGGGGGAAGTCAGTCTTGATTGCTGCCTCATTTGCACAACTTCAAAGGATTATGTGCACTAGAGCCTACCACGTGAGCTTAGGAATATGTGTGACGAGACAAGCCGCCGCTGCTAAGAGGCAGGCTATTGAGTTTTGCGACTTTATAACACATTGAGCAGAACGCCTTCAGTCCTCAAAATCCGAACTTGTCGTCTACAAAGGGCTACCGCTTAAACATGGAATACCGCTAGGTCGGAGATAGCGATAAACTGTGCAGGAAGTAGATTACAGTGAGGGAGACTTGCATAGCACCAGCCCGCTTGCTGTTTCCCCACCCGGCTTGCACCAACGACAATACCATTAGATCAAGATGAATGGGCATGGGCGCCGATTAAGTTGTCTCATAGAAAGGAACAGCATTTGAAGACGAGACACAGATGTTTTGTTGGGCCTTGGGTTTCAAATCTACAAACTCCTGGAGTCTTCTTTTCCTTGTCAGTACTCTTACTCGATTGTTGATTTTTTTTGAGCCTGCGACGGCCGTAAACTGGAACATCGTTGCAACACGGAACGCCATGATTCCATGCCGCAGTTGGGCAAGAGTAGTAAACGTCAACCCCATGTGGCTTTCGCCGTCCCCAAGCACAAAGGACAGTGTGAGCTCGAAGCTCAAATGGTAGGGCTCCAAAAATAAAGGACCGGGTGAGGCAGGATCCAAACCAAGTCATCGTCTTCTAGGGTATGGCTGGCTGACGACAACGGGGACGTCAGAAACGGCCAATCTAGTCAGTATTATCCTTGTCAGAACTACTAACAGACTGTCTTACAACACGCAATTGGATGCGAGGACCATAATATAAACCAGGAAGTCTGATTACGAAGAGTGTGTTCGTCTTCGGAAGCAAGTTGTTGAGATGAATTAGTTGCCAAGATAAACCGGCATCGCAGTAAACAACCGACGACACGGAGTTAAAATTCAACTTACGCCACGCGAGGATAATAAATTTACTCAAAAACGTAGAAGAGGGATGGGTAAAACACGGGAATGGAAACTCCCGGTGATATAGACGATCTTGAGATAAATTCTGGGAAGGGCACCTGTTCCCGTGTCCTGGTCCTGGCACTAATCTTGGCCCAAACGCAAACCGTAGTCCTAGAGCCAATTCCCCTGCAATTTAGCACAGGGTCACCAGTATTATGGGGGGGGGGCTTGCATTCCCATGTCCTACCGAGGGATGATAGTCGGAGGGGCAAATATTAATCGAATTTATGACAGTAATAATTACGTTCGAGACCCGAATTTTAAAAAAACGAGCGAGCAAAGATGTGCACAAAGAATCAGAACGGACATGCTAGTGAAGGGGACCAACCTACCAGAAGAGGGGGTGCATTCTTGCCAGACATCCATTCCTCGGCGGAGAGGGCGGGCACATCACTGGCAGTGTCCGGATAAAGGTCATCCTGATATAGGACCGACTTTCGAGGTACAGTGAAGGGGATGACTTCACAGAGGCCTTTGGCGTGAAGCTTGTAGAATCTGGCAATCTCGTTTTGGTTCACGTCGAGACCGCGCTTGGGCATCCAACCCATACCGCGCTGGGGATCAGTGCTCGTCAGTGTGTCGATAAAGTAAACAAAGGGCTCCTCGTCTGTGATCTCGAAGTACCGAATTGAACAGTCACCCTGAAAGGAGGAAGGAAATGGAAAACAAAATGAAGATGGCCATTAAATTTAACGAAAGATGACAGGATATAAGGGTGAGGCGTCCGGCCGGAGAAAATGCCAGCATGAATTTAGAAACCAGTGGAGGAATTGGGGGAGCAAAGAGAACGTGTGTACAAAAAGAGAATAAATGCAGCAGATTCAAACAGTTGTTGGCCATCGATCTTTAATCACCAAGTGGGTAACAACCGACATACATATTCGGCGATTGGTCATTTCGGGTATTGTTTGGCAGGAATGCACGTTTTCAGTAGTCCTCCCATTACATAAAACTGGAACTGTTACAGTCGTTGGGTTCTGTAATATGCCACATTCAGAAATGGATGCAAAAGACCGTCGAAAAAAATGGGTCGCGCGAGACCGTTCGTGGCTGCAGAGGGAACTACATGATGGGGACGGATGCCGTTCATAGTTACTGCGTTTCAACAATAGATGGTCCCTCCCTTCCGGTAGCCGCCGTCGGCTGGCCTGATAAGGTACATTTAAGCAATCTAACTGACAAACCACTTGTAGAGAGCTGGACGGTTTTGATGGAATTCGGACCGCCGACTGAACGGACAAGGCTGAAGCACAGCCGACGATCTAACCATCTGAGTTACGAAGCGCAGGCGGAATTTTGGGCAACTTATCCGCTCAACGTACTGCAGCTTTCGAGTCCTACCGAGTTTCCCACAATTAGGCAATCAGTGAAAATAAAATGGTTGCGGAAATTTTTTAGTCCCCTCCACAGAGTGGAGAGACGAAGATGCGATCGCCCGACGCTTTGGATTTGCGCAAGGTCTCATCAGCAGGGAGCTCCATAGATACAGTCTGGCGCACATGCAGTGTTTATAGCATACCCCCCCCCCACATACCTGTCACAATCAACAGTGTCCCTACAGCGGACCACGCGGGTGATGCACTGGGACCAGACCAGGGCACGGCAAGAGTTAGCCAGACAGTGTATAGGTTACACATCCAGTAAGAAATACCAAACATGGGGATGTGTGGTGACAAGCGTAGGGGTTGGCGCATGCTGCGCCAGTCACTTGCGCAAATTCCGCGCATCAGACGTCCAACCGGTTCGGACAGTGAACCGAAGTATAGGCCAGGGAAATAAGTGTGAGGTCGACTCCAAGGACTCCAGTCCACGACGCTCAGCGCTTTTAGACTACCTCAATGCATTGAAATTCGGGGCCTAAAAGGTCCTCAAATGACAGGCTAACTTGGTCATCTCGGAGAGTCACGCTGCAATGGCAATTTGCTAATGTGGTCTATATGGCACTCTCACTCACTTGGGATCCCAGCCGCAGCTTCCTTGCTTCTGCAAAAACCTGGTTCATCGATCGCGGACCGGGCGTGCGTGGTACGCATGGACGGCTATGTAGCCGTTCGATCCCGTCTCCGGTCATCCTGGCTCAGTCGCTGACACTGGCACTAAAAAGGTGTTCGGTTCACGCCCTCCCTGAGCGGCCGACTACTCTGTCCGAGCAAAGATTCAGTGTCGCAGTTCGCGGTTCATGAGTTTGTCACTTCTCGCGATAACTTCAGTCTAATCGAATTAGAATGTGTGGTTGGGTCCCATCGACTGTGCTGCGACTTAGGAACCGGTGCCACTCCTTCCCAATGCTGCATGTTCGACCCTTCGCGTCCAGAGTAATCTCTTCGTTACTCCGAGGTAGTTATTTTGTCCGCAACTGTGCCAGATCCGGCAAACGACTCCAGACGCTTCCTACCGCGGCAGCAGGGCTTTCGGTCTCCCGACCTGACGCCTGATGGTTGCCTCCCTCCGGTCTGTGTGCAACCCTAACCCCAAGTATTGTGGGAAGGCGGTTGACGACTTCCGCAATTTTCATGAAATACGGAAGCGCCTCATTTGCCCATGTACCCGTTAACAAAGTTGCACGGATAGCCAATCGCTCTGAGTACCCGAAGCGATAGGCAAATAAAATTCTTGTACCAGCGATCGCATTGTCTTCTCCACTGCTTTCTGGAACTCGTCTTCTGGCTTGTATTGCAAAACGATGCTTTTCCCAGTGTGGTTGTCCAGACAGCTGCCGAAGTCCACGGAAACCCGTCATTTTTAGGGAAAAACGATCCGAAGTAGCCATTACTGCCTACATGATCGATGTGGATTTTTCTGTAGGACTTGGAAATTATTGTTGTGGAAGTGCCTGTTCCTTCTCGGTCCCGCCGCGACCCAGTAGCAAGGTCGCACTAAGAGTGGCGATGTGCTGGGACGTGACCGCTGGACTGGCATGATGTTCCCGTAGGGAGCGCACTGCAACATGGCTGGTCCCGTGCTACTGGCCAAGCCTGACTGGGCAAAAAATTTCCCCCGCTGTGAGGGCACGTCGCCTATACCCTGGTTTGGATTCCTCCGCCAGTCAAAAGTGTTACCTACCAGTGGCTGGAGTGTTCAGCACAGCCTCGTGGCGCCAGCTCGTGCAACCCGTCAATCCATCACAGTAAATACCCTCGTCCGCATACATACGCCCACCAGTGGGGTTTCGCTTGTGACCACCGCAACAGACAGTCGCACGGCGGAAAGCGCACTGACATGTCCCACATACAGGTGGAAAAACTGAATTGATGGAGGTGGTGGAAAAAGAGCACACAGCCCGATCAGGTGAATAGAACGTACGACGCAAGGCTACTTTATTCAGTACGCTATCGTAAAGCGTGCATATATAGGGGCGTTTGACCAGATACCTTCACAAATTTCCTTAAGTAACTGTCACAGCCTCCATTAAGTAAGTAGAATGCTCACCTTTCCGACGAGGAAAATCAGACTACTGTCCGGGTCGTAGAAGGGGAAGAGCAGGCCGTTGCTGGTGTCCAGGTCTTGACATTGCAGTTGCTTTGTAACGTCGTCCTGAAAAAAAAGACAAAACCCGCCAGTAAGACAGAACGGCACGGCAAAATCTGGTAAACCGAAAAGTACCTCGAAGAAAGTCCAACACCACACAGCACGGTGTACGCAGTGTGGACCTTGATAGGACAAATTCAAGTGCAGCACACAAAACGCTCAGACGGACTCTGTCCCCGCCCTGAATCGGCAGTGAATATTCTGCGATGTGCTAACTTCGGTATCACACTACTCAGCTGCTGTTGGGGACGATGGTATGAAAACCACGACAGAACATGGAACAATGCGACGGCAGGCTGACACAGAGTAAGTACGTAGGCAGAACAGTGTGTGCAAAGTACAACTCCAGAGTTAACGAAAGAAAGCGCTTTACTGGTGATAGGCCGCCTGAACACGACGTAGCTGACTGAAGGGCTCGCGCGGGCACAGGCACCAAAATTTGTGACTAGGTAGTACCAGGAATACCGAGTAAGGCCAACTGACAAGGAATCTGGAACAAGGGAAGTATGCAGGGTGAACAGAATAAGTTCGTCCAACCGCAAACGACAAGGATCAGGACTGTGGTGGAAAGGGCGCACTACTAACTTGTGCGTGAGGCATACTTGCACTGTGTTCTCTCCTTCCCAGCCCCCTCTCTTGCATCCCATACCCACCACGTTCCAGGTGCAAGTGAATTGGCTCATTGTGACGAAGCCACACACCTGCGCATTGTCCGCATTACCCACCTGAAAGGAAACACTGTCGGCACCACGCATGACGCCAAGTTTCCGTGTGATGGCTAATCTAAAACTGGTGTATCTGGAAGCAAAATGATCCTGGCTTCGCTGCGTGTCATCTGCAGTTGTGGTGTTTGGTGCACCGCCATTTGTCCACGAAACGGTCATGCATCCTGGCTTTGGTGATCTCTTTGGTGGCTTGCATAAGACGACTATTGAGAGGCTTCCTAAGTCCGGTAGCTAATGTAGATGCCTAGTGGATCCCTTCCGTAGACGTACACTGGCATTGCGAAGAGCACGAGGCTGGTCCACAGCCCCGTCTCGCCTAAATTATTACTGACGAAGGCCTCCGACGCGGACCCAATGTCCGCTACGCGCGTCATCATACCCCGAGTGCACAAATGACCATTTACGTGAAGATCTGAGTTTCAGGGAGCCTCGGAGTCTGTCTTCGCTAAGAATTGAAGGCCTTTGCTAAATAGACAAATGTGTTGCAGAGATCAGGCCTCATTTTGGGTATTTTTGCAGCATCTTTAGAACGAGCATCATGCCGGTTGTTTAGTGGTGTTTCGAAGAGTCGCATTGTATTTTCCAAAGAAGCCAGTCTGCCATAGGAAGACTCGGAAAGTTGACAAAACAGTGTGTGGGGAAGCTTTGACAGTAATAGTGGGGTGAGGGATATTCCGCTGATTGCCGTACCCGCAGGTCTCCTTCCTTTTGTAGAAGTAAATACTGGTGTCGTCTTTGATTACTTACGGGATTTATCCGTGCCCCTGCAGGTACTGAGACATTGAGGTCGTCTTGTGGACTCCTGCTGGAACAAGGCGACGCTTAGTGACGGTATGAATAACTATTGAAACCATACAGTACATTCTGAAATGTCTACGATTCAAAAAAGATTCTTTAAATAGGGTAATAATCATAATCATAATCGTGTAGCATAATGCTAAGATATTTTAGTCCCACCAGGATGCCATTTTTTGAATAAGCGTCTATCCGGCCGTCTGCAAAAGCTGCACTCTGTGACAAATAACAACTTAGTTGGCATTGATTTTTCACGCTGATTTTCGGTGTTCTTTCAACTTCAAACATATTACATGAAAAAAATGAATAAAAACATTTTCCCCTGTACTCCTTTTGCAGCAAATTACGTCTTCTTCAAATTTTCTTTTTGAAGAGCGCGTATCTGCCGGTTCTTAAAGGGGTTTTCGATATACGAACAAATTACTGCCCTACCTACCGTCACACTTACATTCGGGGCTTCTAAACCACAGGTTGCATGCATCCCGTCAAAGGAATATCACATATTTCTCTAAACTGTTGGGCAGATGTTACAGAGGACTCGTAAAATTATGAAGCGGATGTGGACTAGGCTGTGTGCTTCATTAGTAGCATTAGCAAACATGTTGCTGCGATGCTGTACGAATGGACATTTCACAATCATAATTGAGCTCATAATAAGAAACTTTGAAAACCGACATATGCTCTTTCCTCCAATGCAAAATTAGGAGAAGACATAATTCGCCACTAAACAGATACAAGAGAAAATGGTTTTATGCATATTTTCTATATAATATACTCGAATTTATATGGACACCGAAAACCGATTGGAAAACCTCGTGCTACCTAAGTAGTAGCTTTTTTACAGGGCATGGTTTTTGCAGATGGCCGACAAGGGACTCATTCAAAAGTCGGCATCCTGGTGTGAATGAGCTATCTTGGGATCAAGCTGCACAGAAAATAACATCATAACCCCACTTAAGTAGTCTTTCCAACCCGAAAACACATTTCAGAATCTCGGCATATCTATTGTACATATATTCACCCTCTACGATTATATATTCGTCGAACTCGTTTTCTATCTGTCAACTGGAATTCTTGCGGAACTAAAATTAAAACAAAGTCGTTAAACAAGAGACTAAGTAGATGATCATTTAGTACAGAAAGGTTTGGTCGGACTGACTTATGTGGCCCCCTAAACGGCCTGCCATTCGGGTGGCTTTGAGCCAACTTCCAGTGAAATTAGAGCCGACTTTAAGGTTGGGATTAGGTTAAGGACTAGGTCCAAGGCCAAATGTAAAGTCAACGGTAAGGTAATCAGGATCAAATTTAGAGTTAGTAGAGGGGCTAGTGTTAACTAAAGAGTTAAGGTTTGGGGTAAGGTTAGGGTCAGGACTAGGGCAACAGTTTAATTTTATAGTAGGTTTGGGGTTATGAGACGGGAATATTTTGCCGAATATTTTGGGGAACTTGGACTTTCCAGAATTATGCACAGGTTTGCCTTTATTACTTAGCGGGGCGTACCTATTCCCATGTACTGTCTAGGGTGCCAAATAAGTCAGTCCCACAAAAGGTTTTCGTAAACAAAAACCTCAGCGCAAGGGTCGTTTCCAGAGTCACATTCTTCGCAAGTGGTACGGCCAGAACAGTAAAACAGCTGCTAGAATAACCGGTGCTCAGTGAAAAGGAGAAAAATGTTTCCGCAAGAGTTAATTCTGACTTTGTACTGGGAAGGCTGGATAGAGGAACCGAATATGAGAAATTCCTCCCTTAACGCCGCGAGAGTCAGCTGTCGCTGGAAAAATCTAACTGGTAATAGGCAAAAAGTACATAATGGTGACCAGAGTACTCCAAGGGGAAAATATAAAAAGTACTATTCCTCAAGACATAAAATGCGCGGGCATGTCTGACGGGAAATGGGGGCGGGAACAATTCACAAGGAAGGTAGTCGAAGGTCAGCGTCTGGAGCGTGAGCAATCCAGGTGGATGGACGCAGAGAGAGAGGTGTTAGCAATGCCAAACGGTCATATAACTCTACTCTTTGAAGCGGTAATGGTAGGGGGAGAGTCCTGCCACCGGAAAGACGATAATGTAACCAAGGTGAAACACAATGCAGATTAGGAACGCACCACATCCCATAGGGCGTACTGTCGTTCGCTCATAGGGGAGAAACCCGTTGTGAAGATACGTCCATTCTTCAGGTAGACTGCCTGTTGCGGCTTGGTGCCGGGATGGCAAATATTTTCCTAAAGTAGACGAACAGTTGCAAAGTGCTACGTAAACAAGACGGTTCTGGTGTGAACGGCCGGGTGATTAAAACATGGATATGGAGACTGGAGAAAGGGTAGAAAGAGGGAGAGAAGAATGTGGAAAACTGATGATTTCACACGCAGTTATAG